GTCGGCCTGCTCCGTCTCTGCCGCTTGCCAGCTACGCCTCGGCTGGCGCAGGGGGCGGAACCACGCATGCGCGGCGCTCCCGGGCAGGGAAAGTCCTCGACTTACGACCGGTTGGGTAGTCCTCGACTTACGACCGGTTTAGTCCTCGACTTACGACCGGTTTAGTCCTCGACTTACGACCGGTTTAGTCCTCGACTTATGACCAGTTGGGGTCGCAGCATTAAAAAGGTTGAGAACCACTGGGCTACAAAGTCAAACAATAAAAATGAAACACAGCTGCTTTTCAAGAAACAAAGTAATAGCCCGAATCATAAAATGTAACACTATACACAGAAACAACATTCAGATAAACAACAATTTTAAAAGAAGGTATTAAGGTAAGTGGAGAATTGAAATATGACGTTCTTGCAAAACAGTTTTTCTAGAATATGATACGGTGAGAATGTTTTTTCGCTTTGATCCTTCAGTGTAAAATGGATGTGAGCATTCCACAGGTTAAAGAATGTTTATAATTTCTAAGCTCTGAATAAGAATCTATATAATTTTCTGTTGAATTCTGGCAGGAACTTAAAACGTTTTTACAAACCAACAATCCTCAGAATTTCCACAAATTTGGGGCGGGGGGGGTTTAGAATCGGTCTGGAAATTTCTCGCTTCATTTTGGTGATGACATTATATGATTGCCATTGTCCCCTTTAATTCTTGCTGCCAAATAAACTATTACACTTGTGCCTCCTCCCTCAGCTGCAAAGGGTTATTGCCAGAAAACCAGAGGCTTTGCAAAGCCAGTTTTAGAATGGATTCCCACTTTCAGGAATGAAAGACATAAGACAAATGAAACATTTGGACCTGTTAATGAACACTGAAAAGAAAGAAGATGCAATAACAGGTTTGATTTAAAAAAAAAAAAAAAAAAAGGTCCTAGAGCCTGAAATGTTCTCTGGATGGATGAGAATACTGAATTGTGGACATTAAATTTAATGTTAGGAAGCTTGAATAATAGCCTGTCAACTCTGCCTAGGATTCTTGAGTCGGTGTCGCCAACCTCCATCTTTCCTTTACCACTAGGCGAAAGCAGCAGACCCTGGAAGCAGAAGAAGCCAAGCAGCGATTGAACGAGCAATCCATCTTTGTAAGTGAAGCTTCAGGAGCTGGGTGAAACTGGTTGCCCAGTTGTTCAGCTGGCTCCCCCCAGGATATCCTGGCAGGAGGAAGAATGGAGGAGCACCAAGTCTGGCTGGGGACTTTGGGGACTGATTCTGCAGCCAGGGAGAGGGCATTCTTCCCAAGGGCTCTCCCTTGCTCCAGCTCAATGCTAGGTCAGGGCATAAATAGGGCCTTTTGGTGTGGTTGAGGTGCCCTGGGGCTGACGCTGACCTCTCTCCCTAGGGGGAGCAGGAGGACGATGAAGACAGGCAGCAGCCCAAAAAGTCTGAGTCGGAGGTGGAGGTGAGTGCGGCCCCGGGGCACAGCATGCATTGTCTAGGCAAAAGACTCCCATTGCACCCTACTAGAGTACTGCTGCATGAGGTTGTGGCATTGTGTGCAAAGATTCGGCAGGGAAAGGTAGGCTTCAGTTTGGTGGCTGTGATTTAGCTGGAGTTGTATATTGATGAATGGAGTTTTGTGCTTAAGCAGCAGGGTTGGGCCTGAGTTTTATCTTGGGGAGAAACAACGTGTGTTTGTTTGTGTGTGTGTGTGTGTGTGTTCTCCTTTGCTTTGTATTCATTTCTCTGAAAGCCAGTTTGTCGTGCTGTTGCTCTTTATGTCACTCTGTGCCATTGTTCCTGCTGGAGGGGCATGGGGGCACATTGCATATGCGTGGCACGTGTCTACTTTGTCACTCTTGACCTGGCTACTGCATGGAAAGGATGGGGCAGGGGGTTCGGTCTGTATTTAAGGCAGCGGGTATACGAAGGGCTGTGCTGTGCTTGACCCTTGTCTCTCCCCCCTTCCCCTCGCTTCCTGCTAGGAGGCAGCTGCCATTATTGCTCAGCGGCCTGAGAACCCTCGGGAGTTCTTCCGGCAGCAAGAACGAGTGGCTTCAGCCAGCTCTGAGACACCCTCGCCCTTCAACAGAACAGGTAGGGAGCTTTCAAGGTCTCCTGCTCTGGAAAGAGAAAGCAAAAATGCAACAGTGGCTTCCAAGGGACGTACTGCGGAAACTTGGCAATGAGGGTTTTGGAAGTTTATTGTCAACACTTAGGTGGTCTTTGCATTGGATGGTGAGAAAATGCACTTTGATGTTTAAAGCACATCAAATATCAAGAGACCTTGGGAACTTCTGCCACTGGAGAGAATCTAGGCAGAGAATGATTGTGGCAGAAAAGACAGGCTGGGTGGTGGTTGTGTTTTGATATAGGCAAGCATCTTAAGCCAGCACCTTAATAGCAAATTTAACTTTAAAAAGGGGGAACTGTCTCACACAAATAGAAGGACACCATTCCATTTAACATACAAACACGTTTTGAAACTCACAGTCACAGAATATGGTTGAATCCAGTTATTCTGTAGAATTTGATATGTATGTGCATTGATTTTGAAATTTAGTTATGTGCCCATGCACAGGTGTCCATTCCTAACCACAGTGATCCCAGAAATGACAAAATATGTCTCTGACATCGCCTGTTCACCGCCCTGAGTCCCGCAAGGGAGATAGGGCGGTATATAAATTTAATAAATAAATAAATAAATAAATAAATAAATAAATACATCATTATATTGCACCAAGCGTACAACGGGAGGAGTTTATATCACGATGTCACAACATTTTTTTACCTACTTGCTCCGTTTCTTCTCTTCACGTATTAATGTCACAAAGCATTTGTACTTTCGGTCATGGATAGTACGGGGAGCATGAGGAGGAATGAAAAGTGTTGCTTTATTTATTCTACTATTCAAATACTGCTCCTATCACCAGGCTCCAGGTGGTCCCAAAACAATAATCTATAAGATCAAATAAAATCCAAGCTCATATCACTATCCTTGCAAAATGAAAATCAAATTGTTTAGCAAACTATTCAAAAGGCACTTAAGTTCCGAATGACCACATAAAGTTACCTTTGTTGCTTCCTGGAGACAGTGGTGGGGCCCTCTTGGCTTCTGGGAGAATCAGTTTCACAGTGTGATGGGTGGTGGTGTGCGAAGGCTGCAATTGGATAAGACGTGCAGGGCCAGCAGAGAATAACCTTCTCCACAAGCAAGCTAGATGTGCTGCTTAAGACAAAATCACAGTCTTTGAGAGGAGGAGCTAAACTGAAGGCTTTTGATGAAGTCAGAATGATGATCTGGGATGGCCAATAACATTCATGCATGTTACAGTCTCCTGAGCTGCTTCTGCAAGATATGGGAGGTAGGCAGCTCACGGCAGCCATTGTTAGTCTACTGTTCCTTTGCTGCACCTCTACTGTGACTTATTCTGGCTCCTTTTGGGTTGACCCCAAGAGCTGGCCAACCTGCAATAAGTCAAAAGCCGTGCTTTCTGAAATCTTCTGCATTATGCCTTACGGTTTGGACCTCCACATTGTCTATTAGGTTGGCTCTTTGGGGACTCATATACAGTTACTTTAAGTACAGTTTCATTTCCCATCACTACTTACATCTCCTGCCTCTTGGCTCTCTCTTTTCTTCCCTCAACCTTCCTGCATAGCTGCTCAAGCCCTTCACGCTGATCTGTCTTGGCCGTCCCATTCCATAGTCCCCGACCTTGCTTCCCATTTCCGCCTGCACTACCCCTGATACTGTCCTCTCGTTCTCTTTGGCTTCTCGGGGACTCGCCTTCTTTCCCTGCTATCTGGCCCTGGACTTGAGTCTGGACCGCCCGGTGGCAGGAGATGGGGGTGGGTAACGGAGTGGGGCTGCTGGAGGGAAGACTGACTGTTCTCTTCTGCTTTCTCTGTCTTCGTCCGTCTGTCTGTCTTTCTCTCAGCAGGTCGTCTGCACTGTCCTTTCATAAAGACACCTGACAGTGGGCCGCCTTCTTCCTCCTCTTCCTCTTCCTCCCCTCCACGGACTCCCTTCCCCTATATCACTTGCCACCGCACACCAAACCTCTCTTCCTTCTTCCCATGTAGGTAGCCAGGTCCCGGCTGGGCTTTGGGAAGTTGGTTTGAAGAGGTGGCTCCTAAAGGGGCTTTGATATACCCCCAGAGGCTTTCCCCCCCCCTTTTTTTTTTGCCATGTCCCATCTCATCTCACCTCTGAAAGCAGGAACAGGAGCCAGTAACTATGCAGGAACTATACCTCACAGACTGGCTCAGGAAAGCCCCAAGGATTGGCTCTTCTTTCAGCATCCTGCTTGTGGGCCGGCTGCATGCATCATCGTGAACGATTGCCCCCCAATATATGGGTTTATTTATTGACACCATTTCTGTCCGGCCACAATTCAGAGACTTTCAGCAGCTTACCTAAAGTATAAAACCAAATTTGGAAAAAAAAGATGCAATTAAAAACAATAAGACAAGCCCATCCAAAGTAAAAACTACAAACGGTAAAAAACTGAGATGTCTTGACAGAATCAGGAAAAGGCTCTCCAGAACAACTTGGCATTTAAAAGCTTCTAAAATATGAATGTGTGTGGGTGGGTGCTACCCTGGTCAAAACCAGCAGGGTGTTCCACAGCATCACACTGTCACAGAAAAGCAGCGCCTTCTCGCTTCAGATGAAAGCTACGGTGCTGGGAAAAGTGAGGTCTCGGATGAGGTTTCCACAGTAACAATCCTCAGAGAGTTTCTCCATTCATTCGCCCTCCCTCTCCATTAATACAATTTTGGCACACGGGTTCCTCCAGGAACTCTCCTGCATCCAACCATTGGTTCCCGGGCCAAAATATTAACACCACCTGGGGGCAAGCATAGTTCAGCTTTTGATGTGAATTTCATTTGCTGGAAGCTAAAGCACGCGCGTGTGTGAAGACCGACAGCATTTACACACAGCAGGCCTGTTTGGGGGTGGAGGGGAGGAGGATCCCTGTGTAGATTGTGTTGGTGGGGAAAAGCCAAGGGTGGCACTCTTGGGTTAATCAGCTGCCCATGTATGGTTTGGGAATCCTGAGAAGCTGGCGCAACTGTCTTATCCTATGGCTTGCTGTGGGCTGTGCTTCCGAAGGCAGCTAAAAGAGGGGTGTACAGGATGGATATAGCCTGTTATTTTAAAATGTCATTTGAGTCAGGCCCTTCTCTATTGTTCTACGATTCCAGGGCTACATCTGCCTTTTTGTCCTCTGTCCCCATTGAAAGCCACAAATGCAGGGGGGGAGGTCTTGGCGTAGTCGGGTCTTTTCCCGTGTAAGATTGAGAGTATCTTGGTGACATTTCGACGAGGTCCCACTCGTCATCTTCAGGCTGGAGTCTTCGGCTTCAGGCTGGAGTCTTCAGCTTCTGTGCTCACAGAAGCTGAAGACTCCAGCCTGAAGCCGAAGACTCCAGCCTGAAGATGACGAGTGGGACCTCGTCGAAACGTCACCAAGATACTCTCAATCTTACACGGGAAGAGACCCAAATACGCCAAGACCTGCATACCTGTACCCGTGAAAATCTACGAAAACAAATATATATATTTGTATATATATATTTGTATACACACACACACACACACACACACACACACTGGGAGGACCATGGGTTTCTATTCTCGGCTATGAAATAATGTGTTTTTGGAGATGCTGTTAGATATTGCTCTTTTTGGTTTCAAGTGAAGGTGCCACATCTTTTCTGTATGCACTTGGGGGCCCCTGTGCCTTAGGGACTTGTGGCTTTTGCCTTGTCCACTCCCTGTTGAGTGCCTATGTGGCTCATTCACAGGCAGCCAGACGGAAACACACAGAAAGGCCTCTGCCTCTGCTAGTAGCCCCTGTGACTCCAGTACGGCTTCCACGCCAGTGGGTGAGCAGATTGAGCGTGCCCTGGATGAGGTGACGCAACAGGATGCTTTAAAAGGTAGGCGCTGCTCCTGTCTCCACAGTCAGTGTTGTCCCTGTTTCCCAGATTGAATTAGCAGGACGTTGGTATCTTTGCATTCTGTCCAGTTCGCAGATGCTCAGCCAGCCCTCTGCCGCCCTCCAAACACCCCCTCTTGCTTCCTCCCTCTTGCAGACTCCTCCAGCCCAAGCAGCGAAGAGGCAGGCATGGCAGCTGCTACGAACTGGGTTCCCCCCAGTGAAGAACAACCAGTGGAGAAAGCAGGAGAGCCTCCTGGGGCTACAGCCTGGCAAGGTCCTGACTGGACAGAACCACAGCAAAGTGGGACTGACCCCGTTGAAGACGTGGTGCTCCCAGAGGCCAAAGAAGAGCCTCTCTTCCCAGCAGCCCCACCTCCAAAAGAAGAGCCTCAGTTCCCAGCAGCCCCGCCCTCTGTGCAGAGTGAGGATGCTTTAGATCTGGGGGAGGCCTTTGGTTTTTCACAGCCACCTGCACCCCCTTCTGAGAACATTCTTGACCTGTGGCAGAATGACAGCACTGTGGTGGAACCCAACCCTCCTGATGCCTGGGAGCTCCAGCAGGGTGGACCTCCCACTCCGGCCCCGTGGGATCTTCGTGATGGGCCTCCCATGCCTGCCCCCATGCTGGTTGAGGTGGATGTCCCTCCAGGGGCACCAGAGCCCCCATCTTCCACAGGCCTTCCTGAAGATAACCTCTTGAACTTCAATGACCTGCCTGAGCCCCCAGCAACTTTCTGTGATGCAGATCAGGACGAAGAGCCAGCAAGCATTATTGCTGTTGAAGGGCTGCATCAGATGACGCTCAGCTACCAGCATGCCCTGCAGGAAGCCTCTGGGGTGCACCAGGAGCCCCAATTGCTCACTAATGGGGAGACTGCCCAAAAGGAAAGCACGCAGGTAAGTCTGACAAGGCTTCAAAACAATTTTGCAATTCCTATGCCGGCCTCCGGATGCAGAACAAAACTCACATGTTATGCTACTATAGGACGACTTTCTGTGGCACCCTTTCACAGACAGGATTCACACCAGACTTAGCTGAAACGAGTTTGAGTGGCTTGTGGTGGAGAGTACTGTTGACAACCCAGTTGTTGTCTTAACTTATTGTGTAAACTGGGCTGTCATATTATGCCAGGGTATGATTGAAGCATTGAATGATATACAAAAAAAAATTAGTGGGTTTTGTTAGTTTGGGTTTACATTTAGCATTTTCTCTGAACTTAAAAGTATTTGTTAACCTTGCCACTGGATAAGTGATATATCTAGAGTTTCCTTTCCTGTAAATGAATGAAGAGATGGATGAATTCCTATGCAGTCTTAAACAGTGTTTGTTCCATTCATGTGGATTAGTTAATCTTTGATGATTTTTTTTGTACAGTAAGATTTTCAAATGCATGTTAATGAACAGCAACCTTTTGTGCAAATGTGGAGTAGGCAAGCACAGATTATGGTTATTCTGTATTCATAAATTGGAAATGGACACTCTGTACATATTTCAAAGGAGAGCACATGCAACAATTTGATTTTTTTCTTCCAGACCAGTGAGGGCTATTTTAGCCAATCACAAGATGAAGATTTTAACCAATCAGAAGAACTCTCTGCTAAAGCTCCTCCTCCAGTGTTCTACAATAAGCCCCCAGGTAGGCGCTGAGATTTATAGGTGGTCCTGGAGAAATCCATCCCATAACAAAAAAACAAGAAATTAATTTAAATGGGAGAAATATAAAATACTGCATTTTACTGGGGAAAAAAAATGTAAGGTACAAATATAAACTCTGGCAGGCCTTGCTTGGCAGTGGTACCTGTGAAATGAATCTGGGTGTCCTTGTCAACCACAAGTTAAGCATGAGTCACCAGTGTGAAACAGCTGTTCTAAGGTGAATTGACGGGAAGGACATAGAATCTAGATTGGTGTTTTTTCAAAGTTGGCAATGTCCCAGAATTCCCCAGCCAGCATAGGGTAAAATTACAAGGTTGAGGCTAGAGATAAGGAAGAATTCCTGACCGTAGGAGCTGTCAGCCAGTGGAATAGGCTGCAACCTGATGTGATGAGTTCTTTCTTGGTTGAGGTATTTAAACAGAAGGTGGATGGCCATTTCTCAAATGGGCTTTAGTGCTGTGGACAGGGATTTGAACTAGATAACCTCTGTGGTCCCTTCCAGCTCGGCGATTCAAAGAATGGCTAATTGTGAGGGCAATATAAACAGATACACGTGGGCCTTGCATGACCATACTGTTCTAATAGACAGGGAAAGTCTGAACAGAGTTAGGCCAGACAAGAAAACAGGATTTCATGTGACTGGGGACTCAGGGAATGCTGTCCTATCCTGTGGATCATGGTTACTTCATTCAAGCATGGCCACCACTGTCCTTCGGGCTTCCCCAGCAACAGAGGGAATGAAGAAGTGGATCTGGTGGATGCATCTCCATTGCAGCCTGCTCAGTCAGACATTCTTAATGCCTGAACACACTTTAACCTTCTGTCGAGGCATAAAATGGGCTTCCCTCAGGATTCCTGAAATAGAAGCATTAGTGATTTCCTTGGAGAAGGCAAACAGCCAGCCTTGCTTGCAGCTAATCTTTTTTGTTTGTTTGTTTCTTCTTTTTTTCCCCCTCAGAGATTGACATCACCTGTTGGGATGCTGACCCAGTGCCAGAAGAGGAGGAGAGCTTTGGGGGCAGCGTTTAAGGCTGACTCTCAGGCCAAATTCCTCAACCCTGCACCTAGCAAGTCCAGTGTCTGCAAGCCTGGAGCAGCCGCAGTGAGGGCCTGGTGCCCCCTTGCTCCATATTGTAGCCCTGCGGTCCATGGCCTCAGATTGTACCCCGGCCAGATAGAAAAATCTGGGAGGGGTGGATAACTTTTTCCAGTGCGCGCTCTTTCTTTCTCTCTCTCTCTCTCTTTTTCTAATGGTGTCAAATAGGAAATGTGTAAATCTGCCTGGTCCCCTCTTTGTTGGTAGCTTCCCTGCAGACCCCTTTCTTGTTGCCTTTGCCCATGGGGATTTTTCAGATCCCTCCTGTCCCAATGCCATTTATGCCATTTGGGTTGATCTCTTGGGGGGGGGAGGTGTGCTGCTCTTGGGGGAGGATGGGAGGGCCTTTCCTCCACTCAGGCTCTTCCAGAGTTTTGAGTATTTTGCACGAATTTAAAATAAAATATGGCAATAAAATGGCCCTGTGTGGGCAAGGCACTGGCTTCCATCTCTTCCCTTCTTCACCTGGTCCCCAGAGGCCTTGTTCCCAGGGAAGCAGAAGCCCTGTCCATTCTGGGTTCCAGCAAATGTTAGCAGCAAAAGACATTCTTTCCCCCACAGCTCAGCTCAGCTCCGTGGCCCCTCTGTCCGAGAGTGAGCCTGTTCCAGACCCTTCTCCTCAGGTCTTTATTTGCCCTGAGAGCCTGGGACAAGGAGAAACTCTGGATGGGCACCCTTCTCTTTTCTCTTTCTTCTTTCCTCATCCATTCCATGCTTCGTTTTCTTTCCCTCCCGTACAGTAATTGTTTTTTTGAAAGCACAACTTCTGTAACAGCAATGTGCTTATGTATGTTAATAAATAAATTGATTCCAAGCAGGGCAACTGGCTTTGAAATCCAGGATGACTTTATTGAAAAAGAGAAACCGTGTGGGTGGAGGGTGGGGGGGTGGGTGGGAGGGAAGGGAGAAATTGCTGAAGAACTGCAGGGGCCCAAGTAGTCTGGCTGAGTTCTACAGAAAATCATTGAGGGCAAGTCTATTGTCTGTTTTTATTTCCGGTAGCGTCCTTTTTTTCTGCTACCATAAATGGTTAGAAATGTGCTTTATAAGAGCGTTGGGGGCGGGAGGATTGTGCAATTTTAAATTCATGTGGCAAGCAAGCATTTTATGTGGTAAGGGAGCACGGAGGAATGGTGGTAAACATCAGTCCACTGACCAACCTTGCATGAAGGTAAAGAACGCACCGCTAGGTGGAGCTGGTGATAAAGGAATGCTGTTCTGGAACAGGCTGTACCACTGAACACAGAGAAGGAAAGCCACTGGGTCTTTGGGTTGGGAGGCATGGGCTTGCTTTCACTTTGTACATGGGGATTGCTTTAAAACAGTGGTTCTCAACCTTTTTAATGCCGCGACCCCAACCGGTCATAAGTCGAGGACTAAACCGGTCATAAGTCGAGGACTAAACCGGTTGTAAGTCGAGGACTAAACCGGTCGTAAGTCGAGGACTACCCAACCGGTCATAAGTCGAGGACTTTCCCTGCCCGGGAGCGCTACGCATACGTGGTTCTGCCCCCTGCGCCGGCCGAGGCGTAGCTGGCAAGCGGCAGAGACGGAGCAGGCCGACCACCAGCTGGCCCAGCCCAAGGGAGGTGAGGCACCCACCGGAAAAGGGGAAAAAAATGGCGGACAAAAAAATGGCGGACAGCCTTGCTTGGCGACCCCCATGAAATGGTCGATCGACCCCAAATGGGGTCCCGACCCACAGGTTGAGAACCACTGCAGGAAACCACATCCACCTTTGCCCGTGCACAGACTCAAGCAGCTAGTACCAGGTTTGTAATAAATCAGGTTCCACAAACTTTATTGTTGTCAAAATGTAACAAACAAAAGATAGGAAACGAAGTTTAGGCCAAGCCAGAGGCCCCCCCCCCTTACAGTCAGCACCAACAGAGCCAGTAGTGGGCCCAGAGAAAGGGAAGTGGTTGAGATGGGGAGACCAGCCCCACTCTCGCCCTGGCCAAGAGGTCAGTTGCAACGGGGATCTTTGCGCTGTGAAGACTGTGGCCCAGACACGTCTGGAAGGCTTGGACTACGGGACCTGGTGGCTCCCACAGGCCAAGGGAACAGGCTGCTCAGATCCATGCAGCAACCAGAGTCCCACCTAGGTCGCAATATGGCACGCTACACTGCCGTAGTCCTGCCAAATAAAGGCATTGAGACGGGCAGATGCCAGGGCCCGGAGTCGTAGCTGTCTCTGGTGCTGAGTTCAGAGTCTGTCCAGCTTGGGAAGATACGTTGTGAATGCTCTGACTCCAAGTAGAGGTTGGTGCAGGTGGGGCCCTGGCTGGCTGAGCTCGGCAGGTGGAGGGCTGAGCCGTAGCCCCGATCCAGGAAAAGGGGCTTATAGCTGGGCGGCTGCTCCTGCTTCTCTGGCTGCTCGTGGCTCAGGAACGGGGCGTTGATCTTGCGATACAAGCCACGTGTGTCTGTCAGGACTTCGCTGTAGGGTGGGGGTGGCTCAGCCATCAGCACTGCTTCCTCATAGCATGGAGGCTTAGACGGGTCTGGCTCTGCAAGCAAAGTGATCACAGCTATTGAGTGGAAGCAACAGTTGCATTGGTAACATTACCACCATGCCCACCGACTGGGATTTCAGTAAATAAGCTCTCTATAGCAATACTGGAGGAAGGAGGAACAAAGGCTGGAGGAAGATTCCCCCCCCCTCCTTTCCTTCAACTTTTTTATAGCAAGATCCTCTTATATCAGAGGCACTTGTGGGGGGGGGGGGAAGAATTAGGAAATTCCTATCCAGCTTTCCTCTTCAAGAAGCATCTTCACACAGGGGGCATCACACTGATTTAACCCTTTGAACTATCCCAGAGTCCCCTCCCATTCCACAAGAAAGGAACTGAAATTAGGTGGAGTATGGAAGATTTATACTGCAACTCTCAGCTACAAAAGACAAGTATGGCTAATTTACGGGTTTTAAGCCAGCAGCATCAAACCCATATTGCACTAACTGAACGGAGTACATGCCTTCAGGTCAGTGTCAGCTCTTCTAGGCCTCCCTCTGAATCTGGGATGGCAACCCTCTTTTCACCCCTTAAGAAGTCATCACAAGGGCATCTTCTGGCTCTTACCATGCCTACAGCTCCAAGGCCTTGGGGGCGGGAGGTGGTGAGGGTGGTGGGGCTCAATGCGGAGTCGGTGGGGCACAGGAATGCCTGGTGGGCTTCTGATGTAACCTCCCCCATAGGCAGGGCCCCCATAAGCAGGGCCCCCATAGCCCTCGTAATGCAAGGGCTCCATTTCCAACGTGCGCAGGTGCTGCTCCCGCAGCCTCTCCTCCTGTCGCCGTTTCATGCGTCGTCGCAGGTAGCTGCAGAAGCAACACAGCAGCACAATGAGCCCCCAGATAAGCCAAAAGCCAGCAAAGCAGGTGAGGAAGGTGTAGGTGCCGTGGGACATCACCATCTTTACTCTGGGAACTAAGGTAGGGCCTCAGAGACTTCTCTTGACAGGCTCTGAATTTAAAGTCCTTCTTCGATCCAGCTTGGAGGGAAAGAAAGATCTCACTTTCTCAGGTCTCTTCTGCAAAGAGGCTTACTTCTTGCAGGTGAAAGGCTTACTTCTGCAGGTGAAAGGCTTACTTCTGCAGGTGAAACTGTCTCTGCCTTCCTTGCAACCTATTCATGCCAATGGGGCCATAACAGTTCCTCAGTCTCCCTGGCCTGCTCTATGGCACAGACCAGAAATCCAGGTGCTACTTCAGTCTGGGGAAGTGCTGGTGGGATCCGAGGTCTGAGTGCTGCCACTCTTTCACTCACACAGTCTTCTGTAAGCCCTTGGCAGTTGTGGCCATGGAACTGGTTCGCCAGATGCAAAGATCAACTCTTGAGCCTTTCACGAAGAAGAAGAAGAAGAAGGAGGAGGAGTTCTTGCCCCTAAAGGAGCCCAATGGAGGAAAGGAGAATGCTGGGAAAGTTCATGGACACAACCGTTGCTCTTTTCCTCAACTGCCCAAGTTCTTGGATATTTGGGCTGACACGACCAGTAACACCAGCACCCAGCCCAACTTCTTCCCATTGCTAGGTTAGGGCTTTGGAGAACCGATGGCAGTGCTGATGGGAATGCTTTCTCTGCAAACAGACAGACAATGCTGGTCAGCGTAAGAGAGATATACAAGTTTTACATTCACAGAGCCTATGTTAGATTTGCTGCCACTTTCCTAGTGAGCAATTCAGTGTAAATTCACAGAAGGAAGCACAACTGTGCCCAGGGTGCAGGCACCCTCCTCCCCAAAACAAGAAAACATTACAGCATTACTCCCCAAAACAAGAAAACATTATACAGTTACTGTAGGTGGCTTGCTTGGTTCTGGATTATTGTAGTGTGTGCATTTATTTGCTGCATATCATTTACAACATACTGTAGAGCACTTGTGTGAACCCAACCACTGCAGCTTATTCAATAAGTTAAAACCATGTCTTAGCATGATGTCTGTATTTTCAAGCATATACAGGGAAGAATGCAAAGCTTCTTGCTCAATTAGATAAAGGCACTTAGCTCAGTCAGTGTCTTCCTCACCTAAAGCAGCCCCAGAAAGTTAAGTCAGCCTTGCTCAAATCTGCAACCCAATTCTATGCTTCCACTATATACCCATCATTATCTGTGTTCACACAAGAGTCTTGGATAGTTTGTGGTCTTTGAGGAAGACCGTGTGTCCCACTGCTATAACTAATTCCACCAAGATGATGAGTGTCAGGGAGAATATGAGCTACACTGTCTGGCATGTGTGGACCCAGGATGAGAAAAGGGGCTTCAGAAAATTATGAAACAATCTACACAGTTCTATGGGCAAAGCCTGAGCACCAAAATGCTGCCTCACCTCTCCTGATGGCATTGGCAGCCAGCTTCTCTGCTCACCAGCAACCTTCCACCCACACACTTCACAGCTTCACCCTCAAAGCCTGGCTGCCACATGGTATGTAAGCCTAAATTGCCAAGATTTATTCAGTGTACTATTCCTACACCCAAGTGGGAATATTAGTGCTATTTGCGGCTTGGTAACAAAGGCGTTAAAGAGGAATTGGACACTTTCATTTGGAAGAACCCCCACAATTGTTAGCATTGCCATTCACCTCATATTCTTTTCCTTCTTGTCCCGAGTTGCTCAGAACTAAGCTGTTCTACTTCCAGCCAAATATACATATTTTAAAGAATATTTTGGAAAAAGAAATTCTCAGCCCATATTTTCAGAAGCACATGTGAAATAGAAGATTTCTCTAGCACTTGTACCGGAGACAACTGCCGGCTTTTCATGGTCGCAGAAACTGAGGGAGTGCTACTTTAGGACTTCGTCTAGTGTGGGATGGATGACATGACAATTGAAGTCATAGGTGTCCTGAAAATCACACTCAAAGGATGCTCTTTGACAGTTTTTCATCAACAGGAGGAAAATATCAGGTGGAGGGACACAAGGGTTAACCTCTTCAACATTTTTCTTCACTACTTGGATGAGGCAAAGGAAATGCTTATTATATTTGCAGGCAATTAAATTAGAAGGGAAGACAAAAACCCTAGAATCTTTATACTGTAGGTGTCAAACAAGCTATGTAGCAATTAAAAGATTCTTTAAGGTAAACAATGCCTCAAAGTTCTTTGAAGAGCTTCTTCTTTCGGAACTATGACAGTAGGTTAGAGAAAGTCAAATCGGCTGGAAAGTCAGAATGGAATTTAATGAAGAAAAATGAAAAGTTACCACTTAGGAAATAAGAATTCAACACATAGAATGCATAGAATGGGCAATTCCTAACATGGCAATAGTGTTTGTGAAAAATACTTTAGAGTAATTCTTGACTAAGAGTCAGCAGTCTTATGGAGATGCGACAAAAGGCAAATAAAGCTTTAGGCTGCACAAACAGATGTATAGTTTCCATATTTTAAGAAGTAATAATTCCACTTTATTCTGCATTTATCAAATCCCATCTCAAGTAATATCTCATGTTCTGGGCATCATATTTTAAGAAATATTCATACAAAATAGAACACGTTCAGCAAAAGGCAATAAAGATGAAAAGGGAGGCAGAAATAGTGGCCTATGATGAGACTGAAGGAACTGAGTCTTGAGAAGAGACGGCAGGAGGTGGGCTATGGTAGCAGTCTTCAAATATCTGAAAAGAACATCCTACAGAAATTCAGAACCTATCCATTACTGCTCCAGAGTGCAGTATTTGGCATAAAGGAGTAAGATACAAGAAGATATATTCCAATTGAATGTTAGGAAAAACGTCCAAGTAGTAAGAACAGTTCAATACTGAAACCAGTTACCAAGGGATCATTCAAAAAGAGGTTAAGTAGTAATTTATTTATTTATTTATTATTTATTATTTAAATTTATATACCGCCCTATCTCCCTTACGGAGATAATGTGTGGGAATGCTTTAATTGGGACTCTTGCACTGAGCAAAGGGTTGGATTTTATGATCTAAATCAGGGGTAGTCAACCTTGGCTCTTTTATGACTCGTGGACTTCAACTCCCAGAATTCCTGAGCCAGCTAAGCTGGCTCAGGAATTCTGGGAATTGAAGTCCACGAGTCATAAAAGAGCCAAGGTTGACTACCCCTGATCTAAACAGACCCTTTCAACTCTTATGATTTTAGTTTTCAATCCCTCTGGCACCCTCTAGATGTATTAATACTACAAATGACAGAATTCCTTTCAATATCTTGTATAGGCACTAGATTTACCACAGAACTGGGTCACTGTCTCATCTTAACATTGAATTACATGGCTTATTAATACAACCAATAGCACAATTAAGTGCATAAATTTTGAAAATGCCCTTATGTGAGAGCTGTTTATATAATAGCTTTTGATACTTTAATAAAACCTAAGCCAATCAAAAATTAATAATACCTTTAATCAAATTCAGTTACAAAAATTAACTGAAGCCTTTGCAGAAATTCTACCTGTGTGGAAACCTCTTTCATGTTAAAATCAGCTCTACCTCTGTTGAAACCTATTGAAGTCCACAGTCCACCTGTTGGTGGGGCTAGAAACAAATGCAAGTGAAGTTCTGACTCCAAGGCCTTGGAACTAGACAGAAAGATAAATTTTGGAAAGTGTCCAAAGATCCACAAACTCCCCCAACCACAAGCTAATCCAAGATCTCAGGCTACCTTTAAGCTATAGCTTCCTTATTTGAGCCAAATTCTAAAAATAGACCCAAATAGGTTTTCTACTTTGCTGATAAGCTATAAAAACCCAGAAAGATTCTGAATGCCAATTAATCCAAATGTTTGTATCTACAAAGGTCAAAAGGACGACTATAGAAAATGCATAAGCAAAACTAAATGCAAGGTTACATCTGTGCCTACCAATGAGTCCTGGGAGGCATATTGGGGGGGGAAAACATAGCTTCTTCTGCCTCTTTAATCACAGTCACTCAGAAGCATTAAAAAGATCAATCACCTCAAAAGAGAACTATTCCCTTACCCCAAACTTTATTACCATTTAGGTTAAACTACTGTATCCCCAAATCTTCAGAATCCAAACTAATCCATAAAATAGAAAATGTGAACTGGCTTCAGTCTTGTATGTCTACAGTACTTCACTTTTGCTAAGGTCCCCCTGGCTCACAAACAATTTTAAATTGATAAATCAAGATTACAGAATATGTTACCCTTAAAATTAAAGTTTGTGATGGGCGATTTTATATAAGAACAGCTTCACTAATTTGGGCATCTCCAAATGTATTGGGGTACCATCTTCTAGAACTCCCTGCCAACAATCTTAATATTTTTACATTTTAACAGACCACAGAACAGCTTCTTTCCCAGAAAATTCTTAAATGTCAACATTTCCTGGACTTAAAACAGTATCCTGTATTGTTTGGAATTCTATATTCTGCTAGCTTTGTGATTCTCCAGTGATTCCTTTCAACATGTTCTTTTCATTTTTACAATACACTGGAACAAAGTGTAAAACTTCCATCTGAGCCAGAGTGAATTATGATTTTACCTGCCTTCAGCAAATGTTACTATTCAATAACATTTATCTAGTCAAGACAGCAAATAAAATTGGATAGAGAGCAGATAGACAAACATTCCTGTTTTATACAGCAGATATGCAGCAAATTGAAAAAATGATTTTCTTTGTCAGAAACTCTTACATTGTTAAAATAAACCTCACTCTTTGCTTTTATCTTATGTAAATCTTGGTTTGGCACATTGCTCTGGTCACCACAGTTGGGGGAAAAAGTATAGAGTTTCAATCATATCCTAAGTACAGAATGTCAAGAACTGAAACAAAGACAAGATGTTAATAGCAGAAAAATATTCTTCCCGTGAGCATATTTGGTCCTTATAAAAAAGCTAAAGAGCTTACATACAGTATAAGATTGTTCTGAATATTCTCCTCTAGTATATAGGGACAGGACAATCCCAATTAAAATAGACTAGTCCAGGGGTAGGCAATCTTGGCTCTTTTATGACTCGCGGACTTCAACTCCCAGAATTCCTGAGCCAGCCATGCCTACCCCTGGACTAGAACAAGATAAAATATACAGACACAGGGGAGAAAATATGATGTGACATCATAATTGCATCATAGGCATCATAATTGAAAAAGCACAATGACAAATTGGAACAAGTCCAGAGGAGGCCAGAGGTCTGAAAACAAAGCCCAATAGTTAAATTAATTAATTAAGGGGAACAGTTAAATTAATGGGGTATGTTTAGCCTACAGAAGAGACAAGTGTGAGGGGATATGACAACAATACACAACTACTTGAGGAATGTCACAAAGTTGAAAGACTGCACTTATTCTCTAATGCTCCAGAGGACAGAATCAATGGGTTAAAATTACTG